AAATGCACGCATATCAGTGACCATGATGGTGGTTATGTTATTGATCAGTTGTTTCCTAGAAGAGATAAAACTTGGATAAACAAAAGTGTCGAAATTGCGACAGGAATTATGAGACAACCCAATATATGGGAGTATTGTGGTGGCACTACATTTCGAGCGACATATAGCATCCCGTCCTGTCAGAAATGGGACTGAGTCTAAGGTGGAGATTGTGTGATTCGATTCTTATTTTATTCCCCGATGTTCATGCCTCCACTTGGACTTGGTCCTAGAGGATGTCCCCGTATCATGATTAGCGCTCAAAAGGATCAGTGGTTACGAAATCAGAAAGAAAAAACCAGCGGAGTGCTCATGGTCAGGTTTGAAATCGCTAACGTTGGGTCAGAATGTTTACGTTTAAACGCGTTCTAAGCTTTAACCAGGTCATAGCAAGTATGTCTGTGACTGCAACTTGGCCAGAACGCACATGTTGAACAAAACGCCCCTTTATATTGCGATAGCGTCCAAAGAATACCTACTCATAAAGGTTACCAATCTCTTGGTATGAATGTGACTTTTTGGGCACTGCCGCCGACCTTTAACGTTAGTAGCAGTATCGCGAGGAAGCGGACCTTGAGCAGTCCTTCGCTCCTTTTCCAACCTGTTTCTGTAGAAATGCCCACGGGATTCTTACAAATGCCATTACGAGAGGTCTCATTACCAAATCCGCGACTTCTTGTGTTTTGGAATCTTTTCTACTCTTCTCTCACTTTTTTCCTGCACTTTCTTCATAACTTTATACCTTTCTGTACAGTTTTTCTCCCCACATCATTTTATCTTTTTTATTAAATTCCAATTTCCTGAGACGTTCTGGATACTGCCCGATTGATTCTGTAGATGGTCTAATTAACGACATTTGACTGCTACATACTTCTCGACTAACACGATTGTATTTATTGTCATTTCGACAAACTAGCTTTGTGTTAGGTTTGTTGTCGAAATCTTCGATGTGTGAGTTTGTTGTCCGAAATCTTCGATGGATCGCTCATCGTGGCCTTTTTAAGGTCGTATTACGTCGCGCCTAATTACGCGTTGTTGCCGTTGCATTTGACACTTGTCGTGGGTTTCTATTTGAACACTCCTGTTAGCGATCCGATTAGGTAGTGTCATTTGATGGCAAAAAATGATAGGTTTAGAAATTGTCTTTCAATAAACTTGACTCTTCATCTCTGATTGCCATGGATTCGGGGCTGCTCCTGATTTAGCAGTGGTGAGTGAGCACTCAGGAACCGCTGTCACTCGATCCTGTGTCTAACGGACTATTACCGCCTCATGTTGACGGTCTCTACCTGTACGCAGGTCAAAACGGTACCCTCGTCTGCTGGAAAACTCACTCTCGGCCCGCACTTCGCCCCTTTACTAGCATAATGAGGTCTACGATCAACACTACTCTAATAATGGGGATATTTTTTTTAGGATTAACGATACTTCAGTTTTTCTTCGGCTCTTGTATGTTCAATTTTACTCCCGATTGCAAATGTAATGTTGCATTTATGTCAGCACAACCTATAGAAGAGACGTCGTAAAGCAAACGTCGGAGACAACGATTTGAGTAGTTTCAAGATTCACGAGATAGGAGCGTAGGCTTTTTGATTGTAGCTAGTTAGGTTTTCCAATCACGTATAGTTGTTATGCTCAATACTTTTCACTTCATTGATCTCGTTTAAGGCGTTCGCCTCCACGTCGTGACCGTGAGGACAGAGACAGACGTGATCGAGATCGTGAGGATAGGGATTCGCGTTATGGAAGTGGAAGTAGTCGCCGACGAAGGTGAGATTCATACCTTTGTCATTATTACAATAGAGTGTGTGTGCAAGCATGGAAGTACATGCACAGTGGAAGCAGTAGTCAGGAGCCTAAGGAAGCGAGATTTGCTCATTTCGTGGCCCCTGGGGCTGCCAATCCTCCTGAGCTCCGCCTCCGCCCCTGTGCTCCGCCCACAGTGTGTTACTAGTAGCATCATTTGGATGAGGTATTCCACTTCGAGTGCGTATCCTATAACTTCCCCATGGAACTCGCCATCAATCAAAGCATGATCTTTGCAAACGACCTTTTAGTTGTTGCTAGCTCGTCCATTATCGGAGGTCAACGGGCAAAGAAAGGGGTCCCATTTTGCGCGTTCTTGACGGATTTCTTTGCTTTTTTCGCCACTGGGGCATTATTCAGCATCTCCACTTCCACTATGAACCCAACCCAATCTTATCGTAATCTCTCGCTTTAAAGTGAACCTTATATAGTGAACCTCTCTGTTTTATACTTACGCTCAGTCACTCACAAATCGCATCGGTAAGATTCCATCATAAGTTAACGAATACATTTATTGGCGATTAGGAGTCTATGGGGTTCATCAGCAGTACGCGAGGACATGTTTAAATCATTCATCAGTGCCTTCGCGAAAGAAGCTAATCATTCGTTAAGCCATGTCATAAGAAGTAGACGATTGTAGAGCTCATTTTTGCTGCTCAAGGTGGAAAACTTGCACTCTAGTTAATCCTTTACCATTTATAATAATTTTGCGTAACTATTCAGTCGTTCGCGTTCAAATGATCGCGACCGTCGGCGTGATCGAGATCGAGAGCGTGATGACCGTCGAAGTAGCTCGGGAAGAAGTAAAGGAGATCGTGACAGAGACAGGTTTGATATATGTAGTAGTTCTTTTTTTTTGCTTTTTGAAGGCTTGGTGACAAGTAGTTTCAGGCTTTTATAGTTCGAAAGTAGAACACCTATACAATGCCGTCAAATTTCAATTGTAAAAGGTGTAATTATACTAGTGGGTCGTATTGTATACATATAGTGAAGGTCACACTGATATCAAGAACCAAAAAATCGCGAGGTCTCAGTGGGAGGGCTGACCTTCATGAACTCTTTCTTATCACATAGTGGCCTACCGCTGCACAAACAATGGTGCGACTGTGAATCTTTTTTCTAGGCGAGATCGACGCTACTGACTCATGTGGCTGTTCGGTGGAATATTCTCCGTGACATTTTGTTATGATGTTATGGTTGTTCGTAATACTCTGCTCGATTAATTATTAAACACATATTTTTGTTCATGTAGTATTCTTTCGGAATTCTAATGATGGTTCTAAGATTTGTTGTGAAGATTTTCCGTCTGTACGTTCCAAATGGTATTCTTTTTTTTCGCGCTGAGAATCTTGTCTTTTCTGTTGCCCTATTATTTATAGAGATTGCAAAGGTCAGTAGCTTTCTTTACAGTTTTCGTTGCAATCATGTCAATAAAAACTTCCTCTGCTAGCAGTTGCTTTCGTTAGATTCGTTCTTGGACGTATATTTTCCAGTGATCATTATATTCTCGGTTGCTTTTCGTTGCTTGTGTATTTTTTGCCTTCTGTGGCCAAATTTTCAAAGAATTTCATGTGAATGTGTTATGGGAGTACATGACAGTGATCAAATAGACGTGGGTTGTCCCGAACATCTCGGTATTGGCCTGCTTGTTGAAGACTTGTCTGGGCATATAGATAGTTCAGTATTGAACTTGGCAAGAGTAGTGCGTTTTTTTTTTCCGGCGGTATTTGGTAGGTCGCGATAATGAAAGATTTCTTGATCGAGCGGGAAAGTTTCAGGGCGGTAGTTGAGAGACGAATGAGAAAACACATTTGCCGATCGCGGCGTGTAGTTTTTCTTGCGTATTACATCAATGGTTCAATCATGAATGGAAAAGTCATCCTGTTTTCAGAATGAGATCGCTTTTGTGAACTTTGGCATATTGCATCTGATGCGCTTTTTAATCTTATTATATCTGGTTCTGATTCCTTTTGTTCTGAACCCCGAGTCGCTAGTTTTTGCTCCCTTTGGTGCTAATCAGAATGAGCTGCTGATTTAAGTCAGGTCGTTGCTAGCTGTTGCAGTGGTAATGGTATAAGGGTCGTACCTACTTCCGACTGTTACAATTTTGACATCTTGTGTGTTAAGGTGTACGAAGCTCTCCATAATCCAGAACCTTGACAAACGTTGTTCTCCTATTATGGAAGTTAGAAAATAAGTTCTTCCATTTCCCTCCTTACAAAAGCAATTTAGATTTCATACTGGGGTTCTCGCTTCCTTCAAAAAATCTTAGTAGTCGCACGAAAGCTTGCACTAAAAGCTCCATTTCCCGTTAGCCAGAAGCACGCTGCGAATTGTAGGTTTGTCAAGACAGCATTCGTCTCTAACGCTACTACTGAAAGGAATAGGTTGTTGTAAGGTAGAGGTTTCGTTCAGAACGACTGTGAATTGCAGATTTCCGCGAGCACGGAAGGCGGGTCGATCAAATCAATACCTTCCAGCACTGTTTAGGCTTCCTATTTCTTCGATTGTGCTTGACCATAATAGGGCGTATAGGGGGGAGGGCAAAAAGAATTCACTTTCCTTCACATTTTAAACGGGTTATTTAGACTCTTCTAAGTTCGGTGCTACAAGAGTAACAAGGACGAAAGTTCCGCGCCGCAGACAACGACCGTAACCTAGGCGTGACCTTAGTGCGTGCCGTGCGGAGCACACACCTCAACGACGCCCCCGGACTGATAAAAGGGTGGGCATGCCGCATTTTTTGAACAGAAATCTGTGTAAGTGGGACTGTTGCCCGCTACATCACTGTCACGAGAATCGGGGAATTCATGAGCCAGGGGAGTGTAGCCAAACTGGGGGTGGTGCGTAAGTGCAGTCACTTGACATGCGTGAAACAGCTGGCGTGCCACCCCTAACTTGGTAGCTAAATTCTAACGAATGGTCTCAGATGTAAGTGGTCTTATCGGTAAAATCTCTGAACGAGCGTCCTCACCACATAAAAATTCGGTGCTAACTTAGTTGGGGGGGCCACGCGGCGGCGCGGCAGTCTGCTCGCCTGGCATGTTCGGAAATCCGTGGGCCAGGGGGAGTGTAGGCAGTCTAGGGGGTGGGGGTGGGGCAGTCACTTGACATGCGTGAAAAGCTGGAATGTTCGAGTTTACACTGTCTCGCTCGAGAGAGCCCAGGTGAGCAGACTGCCGCGCCGCCGCGTGCCCCCCCCCAACTAAGTTAGCACCAAAATTCTCTTGGGAACATTGCTACGGCACGTCGCCAACGAGATCGTCGACGGATCGTGGACCGTATGAAATTATCTGGAACGCTAAACAAAACGGTCTTGCATATCCAGAGCTACTGTCCCTATGAGCCATCCACTAGCTAACCGACTAAAGAAATCATATAGCAGCCTCAGTCTCGATCGATTACGGTAGGCCTTCTAGAGGCCGACGCTGATGACAAACCGTCATATTCTGCAGGTGGTGAGGATAGTGAAGGAGGGTCAGCTTCTGCTTACAGGTGACATATAGGAGGAACAATTACATCACAGTTTCCTAAACAGCGACACCCTGTGAGACAGAAAATTTGGTGATATGTGCTATGGGTAAAGTGACTTTTTCCCCTTCCTCCCCCTCTGTAGTTCACCAAAGGTGAGGAGTCGATCGAGTTCACACGTGATCATTTCTTTGGGCGACTTCTATTGATTTAGTGGTGACCGCCTCTTCCATGGAGTTCTGCATGTAGGTTATGGAGGTGAGTACAAAAACCGTGTGTCAGACCACATAAAAAGATTCTCGGTCTATTCTGACCGGTTTGTGGGAGTGTCTGTAACCATGATATTCGGTTCTTGTCCACGTCCGTTTCCTTCCCCTCTTTAAATTTCAAAGTTCCTTAATAGCATTTTGATGGTGCACTTCGAGATCGAGATCGTAAGAGTTGTCTGATATCTGCTCCACGCAGTGGTCGTAAGTTACGACCTTGTATGCGAAATGTCCATCAGCTTCGGACGTCTGAGACGTGATCTCAGCTTCTCTAGTGCTAACTCGTGAGCCGTAAAACTTCTAGCGTCTTATCAACCCAATTTCATATGTACACCACTCGCTCGCACGCATCAGCAGAAAGGAACTTGACAATTGACAGACCGATGCACAAGGTCGACCTTGCAGCGGAGACTTTCAGTATCAACAATTTCTTCTACATGGGACTTTACACGATTCCTTCTCTCCAGAATGATCATTACGAATAAACTCAGACGCCCCGTGCTTGTGCCGCGTGTTCATTGAGCGTCAGATCATGTGGTTGATGAACATTCTTTGCGAACTCCTCGCACTTGGTTTGTTGGTCGGATGTGGATATAGATGTTCGTACATACGAGAATGCTATCGATGCCGATATCGCGACATGGCCAACCAATCCTGCACATTGCTAGTCTCTTCCCTCCGGATCTCCAAGACTAGGAATTCCGTGAGAACATACAAAAGACAGCCGACAGACAGAAGGCGAAGCCGCTCCTGTAGGGCTGTGATGTTTTTAGGATTTTGGCGTACGCGTTACCAAATGGGTTGAAGGACATACCTCAAACTTTGAGCCACGTTTAGGCTTTCGAGGAAGATGATTTTAACAAAACGTCAGTTTCCACTTAAAGACCTTGTTGGCAGAAGAGTAGCATTATAATTGTATTCAGTTTCGGTAGCAGCAGTTGGTCCGCAACGGTTGCTACGGTCGCACATGCGTTACTCCACTTGGTCATTGCACGCAACTGGAGGGGAGGGGAACTGCATGCACCATATTGGTTACCTAATCCATGTGGCTCTGCGCGAGGAGTGTCGATGCGCGTTCCGGTGTCATCGGCAGTGCCACGAGGCGCGATTTGAGATCACTGCATGATTGAGAGCGAACACCACACCTTCTGGCGCAAAACTTTGGAGGCCTTTTGCGTACACGCTGTAAACCCAAAAATCAACAGGAAAGATGGATTCTTAGCCGAACACGTGAATTCGCACCTTTCGCGTTGAGGAAACGTGGCCGAATTGTAGCTGCCTGGTACATCTTGGCTTGTGGCTTCAAAGCAAACTTAAGAAGAATACCCCGCACGATGCCAAGGTTCATCGATCGTCGATCCTGTGTGCTATTGTACTCAGTTGTTTTGGCTTGGCTCAAGGAAGCCATTCACCTGGTCAGCAATCTTGTCAAAAAAAAATTGAAAAAATAGAAGCCTTACCTATAAGCCTAAAGCTGCCACATAGTTTTAAGTGAACGGCTTCACGCTTGTCCTTCTGCTTGCGCTTGTCCTGTCTGAGATAACGTGTCGTGTTACACGAAGGGACACAAAAAAGGACGCTACATTTACTTGCGTATTCTCACTTGTTCGGATCTTCACTGCTCCATTCGTAGCTCCGTCAATCAAAATACAGCCACACTATCTGCCGCTGGTTCCTATGCTTCGGATATCCTTCTCCGTGTTTCATGTTACTAATTCGTATAACTTCGTATAATGTATGCTATACAGTATCTAAGCGATTCGCAAGTGACACGAGCTCTGAGTACAGTCTAACTTCTGCCCTTAAATTGTCCACGTCGCCTTACTGAAGTGTCGATGTTGCGACATATCGCTGCTTACTGCACTACATTTATAGCCCTGGGCCTTTTAGTTCTCAATCTGCCACCGTTATGAAGTAAAGTGGAGCCCAAGCGTACTGGTTGATCGTTGTCGTTACGTGAAGGATTGCTGAAATTGATCATCACACGTGTGTTATTAGGGCTTTTTGAGTTAATCGTGCGACAACGTTAGTAAATGTAACAGCTGGTTGCTTTGTTGTCGGAGATGCTCGCTAAATGCATTGCAGCAAAGCACGTACCGATTCGTAGCTCGGAGGGTTGTTCTTTACAACATACTCAATATCCACGCGGACGTATCCCGAAATTTATTATTACTGCTTCTTCTCTGATCGTATGCACATATATCATACTTTTTGGTGATTTCTGCCATACTCACTAGGATTCTACCAAATTAATCATCGACTGTTTACGCGGTTGAAAAACCCACATTCGTGTGTATTTGATTGAAGTGTTGCTTTCTTGCTGCTTTTTGTTTGAATTTGAGGAATTGAGTCACGTCTTGTTTCTAACTGCTGACAGATCAACTGGTGCACAATTGCTTCAGAAGCCAAAAAATCTTTTTAAAAGCACTTCCAGATGGAGGTGCGGCGGCGAACGACCACGGCATCAGCAAATGGCACACTGACACAACCGTACTACGAGCTACTAGACGATAAAGCGCGGCGCACATCTGTATGTTTTGTGTTCTTTCATCAAGCCTCGCCCATTTGTTTAGGGCAGGGCCATCCTTTTGGAACCAAAATTATTTCTCATGTTCAGTCGGAAATGGGATTGATTAAGCATCATGAAAGCTGTCGTATAGCAAATACCGCAAGCTTATGAGTTTCTCCTCCGTCAGTTGGATATAAACTTTTTTCTCATCGACTTATTAACGCGCGTCCTGCTTGTAATTGGAATGTAGAGTGACCAATATCACTCCTATCACGTCTTGGCAGTTGGGTTTTATAAATTAATTCCCTAGTTTTGGCCACTTTAGTGATTTGTCTTCCGATTTACAACACGTTGACAGCTACTCTATTTTCTGATTAGGCATTTAGGAGCTATTGATTCAAGCACTGGATTTTCGTGATCGCAGTGGTAGGCGTCATTTATGGAGGCGTTGTCTATCTTCACAGGTGAGTTGATTGCTACGAAGTACCTGGATGGGGCTTATGATTCGGAGAACATGAGTGTTGGTGGTCATTTGGCTTTGAAGCAAATCGTCTTTGGGTCATTTATATGTTCATACATATAGCGTTCTCTTCGCTGATCCTATGCTGGGAATGCTGCATATTTTCACTGCTACAGCAAATAGAGAAAAATGTGGATACTCTGCAACGTTTAGCATTAACTTGAAAACAAATGGAGATAATGCGGATTGCAAAAATGTTTGTAGTCTCATGCGAGTGTAGCTAGCAAGCTAGAAGTTGTTGTTGCAAACAGTTCGGATGACCCTAGGTTCATGCCGCCACTCTAGCTCCTTTAGCTGATTTACATTTTGTGAAGCCTTGCGAGATCTTCATCATTGCACACACTATTGCGCAGTGCTCCGAAACTAATGACTGTAAACCTTGATCTTCTCTCAATCGTTTGAAGGCACTCCTCACACCGAACTTGTTTGGTTTCTTGCACATGAAAGTAAAAGCAATGATGGGAAATCGACCGAAAGTGACGAAAAAAGGAAAAGAGTATTGAAAAGGCCAAAACTTAAGTGTGGAGACTAATCTTGTAAAACAACTAGACAATGATTGCAGTGGAAAGTGGCTAGACGAGAGTGCTCAAAGGGTCGAACGTCGCAAGCCTTTCGCATTTGTCATGACTAAAGGTGAAGCGGCTCATAGCGCTCTTGCAGGCTCAAGCGCCATTGTTTTCCGAGCCGAAGGAACGAACATCTTTAGGTAGATTCTACTCACCTAAAAACGATTATCCGAGGCATCACGTGCTGCTAACAAGGTCCAGGTCTAGTTCTTGTGGAAGTCCTCTCTCTAATAAGCAGGTAGGAATGCGAAATGGATCACAGGCGGTAGAAAATTGAGGAAATCGAAAAAATCTGTGACTCATACCTCTGCGGAGGAGGAATATATGAGGCAGACAGCGAGATAAGAGACAGCGTAATTTGCGGAAGGGAAAAATCTTAAGGTCGAGGCAGCATAATAGATCAAAACTACGACTCAGGCAGCATATTGAACGGCGGGCGCACTGATCTTCCTGGGTGTAGGATGATCCAACTCTCTTGCGCCTAACGTCTTAAAGATGCGTTTCAAGTTGCAAGGGTGATGCACCACTGCAGTGGTGAACCTAAGCTCTGATCCGCGAGAAAAGTCTTAGTTGATCTGTTTCTGGCCTGTATTCACGCATTTGGCATGCTGGATAGAAAAGCTTTTTTTGTATCTGACCAGGAGGGAAGGGGTTGGGTGTCGTTCTCAGATGTCTTTGGCGCGATCACTGCGAGATCCCTATGGCCACTAATCAAAGAAAACACGGTTGCTTGCGGTGCAAAGTGTTCATTATGCTGTTGCTGCACATCTTCGTATGCTCTCCAAAATGGAATGGTACCTATGTTATCTTGAACTTTATAGTATTGCATGTTTCGTTTCCTTTATGGGCATTTTCAGACGGATGCCGCCGGTAGTTACAGGCGACCACCTGACTGAGTTTAGTGAGGAACGAGCTCGTGACCTGCTCAAGGAGCTTCACTGCTTTGGGCCGCGGCAAGTGATCCGCCTCCTCACCGAGGTGACCGTAGACTCTCCTTGCTCCTTACACTTGATTTTCGTTCACCAAAATAATGCCAATGTAATTTAGCACAAAGCATTTGACATAATGCAAAGAAGTCTTAGCATTATTGAACGGCAAGTCGCATCTAAAGGTGTGAATCGATTCGAGATGGATGTTCAGGTATGTTTTAGCCTATCTAGTTTGTCCTCGTGCTTTCGAAGTGCAGTTATATTTCCACTTTAGCGTCCATCAGGCTGTTTCGATCTCAAATTTCTGTCGAGCTTCACTCTTTGTTACTACAAAATCACCAATATTGTGGTGCGTATTGGTCCAGCGAGTGGCCCAACGAATCAGGCTTTAATGCTCAATTGTCACTATGATACTATGCCGGATACACCTGGTGCCACTGACGATGCAGTAAGTGTTGTCTGTTGACCTACCCTTAATGAATACTTTCAAGTTGGGCTCACCCCGTTACACTAAGGAGATTTCCTGCCTGTATAAACGGGAGAACATATAACGAGGTTGAGTCATAAATAACAACCGCTTCGATAATAACTTCGTAACCTATTGTAACGTTTCTTCAATCGCAAGGTTACCACGATTTAGTTACGCGTCAGCTACCCACAACTGTTCTGGCCATTCGCATTCGCACATCGCATGCGAGCGGACACTCCCTTCGCAACTGTGCAACCCCAGAATCTGCGTCTGTCTTAAGGTGTTCACCATCGTTGTGGCTCTCTTTCTTAAGAAATTGAGAAGTGGCGCGGACAGATAATAATCGGCTCCTACGAGAGCATATGAATGAGCGGGTGGAGGGTAACCAAAATCCAAGTTTCGGTAGACTTTTGAGTTTGGGTTTTCAACATATGGTCAGAAGTTGTCATACCCAGTGGAACGATTTAATCTGCTGGAAGCCACAATGTTGCGAGATCTGCAAGAGGTCTACACATCTGGAAGCAGTAGATGTCCAGCGGCAGTGTCACTTTCTGAGGTGTGGTAGAGCTCACTTTTCGATGGTCGCTTTGGCTAAGGAGCCGCGTACATCCAGTGCAGCTCCTATATTTTGCTGACCCTGAAATGAGTGCAGATACTCTCAACTGTGCTCTCCTTACATAAAGGAATAAATCTTGTCAGGACGTCTGAAACATTGATTTCTGGAGAGCAAGAATTACTTTCTATTCACTCTTATCTGCACTCATCTCGTGGGAATGTGTTATGACAGCCGTGCACTATTTCTAGGCTGCTGTAGCTCGGAAGGTTCGAGCTACAGCAGTCTTCGAGTCTACGGCTGCTGTCACTGGGCTGCAAGAAGCCACTGCATTTTATTTACCGCGCTCGGCCTCCGAGCTGTTTTTGTACTTTCGGGATTTCGGGGACCACTCTCAACGTGCCAATTTCTTCATTGTTTCTGGTCCTTCAACGCTACACATATTTTCACAGGCACCTCTCGTCAAGCTTCTCAAAAGAGGATGGGAAAGTCAACAGTTTTGAGCATGCTTCAAAACGGACGGCTTCAGGGCTCGTTAGTGGTTCCGTTCCGTAATATTGTATTAAGTACTCGTGCGGTCCCTACATGGCATATTGGCGAGAACACTATAAACGTTTTCTGAAGAGAATGGCAAATGTTGAGGAAAGCGACATTGCTTGTGAATCAACCTAGTAAATATGCGTTTTTTATGGATGCGGAAAGTTGTACGTATTATTCATAACATCTGTTTTTACTCAGAGGGCAAGGTGCAGTCGTATGCTCAATACCGGGGAGTACCACAATTTCTTTACGTGAAAACTACTCCCTCGTGTTTCTATGGGGAGATTGTGGGAATCATTGCAAGTGATTTCTGTCCGAAGGAGACTTGGACATCGTGCACAAGCTTACATCACACTAGACTCTTGTGTCAAGCAAGTGTGATATTTGTGGTCACGACTCAAATATCACAGCAGATATGTTTCTATTCAGAATGGTCTTTACCGCTTGACCGTACAATACGCTACCTCACCGGCATATATCCCACCACTCCTGGCTGCCTCATAATGTGAGCCGAAAAACCTGTAAATCCTCCATGAGATGGGTAAGCACACAAAAAAAGCAGATTTGAAATGAGCTGACGTGAACAATTAGGAGGCCTAGGTCCCAGTTCTTTTCTTGGCCAGTTCGACCCACCGCCCTTCTCTTATATGTGACCTAAAAGAATATTAGCACGATGTGATATTCGTTTTGCGTTAGCTCCCATTGATGCCGTCGTCATCCTTGCTCTACACAAGGGGAAAGCTTTCCGTATTATACTTTTTATAACTATTTTATTGAAAAAAACTACACTAAACTATCTTTTATAACTATTTATAAACTATTTTACATTTATGTTATCTCAAGTGCCTAATGCTAAAATTGTTCAGTAAATGAATTCGCTTGATAATCCAATTTAGAAAGAGCTCATGCCTTGTTTGCACTCCTTGTTACCTTTCAGGTCTCCTGTACTATAATGATGGACGTTCTGAACGTTCTCTCGACATCTGAAGAGCCACTTCAAAACGACGTCGTTTTTCCTTTTCAATGGCGGTAATGATTTCTTATTCAGAGAATTTTGTTCTGTTTTATCGGTAAACCTCATTGGTTCAGCCGAGGAGAATTTTCTACAAGGCGCTCATGGGTTCATCGAGAATCATCCATGGCGTCACACTATTCGTGCATTCATCAATCTTGAAGGTACCGGATCAGGTGGACGGGAAATCCTGTTTCAGGTCAGCATTTTTATTTTTGGGAATCTTTTCTTTTTTAGGAGCTTTTGTAGGAATAGCAAGGAGTAAATTTCAGGCGGGTCCAGGAAACTCATGGCTTACTACAAACTTACCTCGAGACTGCTCCGCACCCATTTTGCAGTGTTTTAGCGCAGGAGATATTCCAATCTGGAATAATCCCATCGGATACACTTCCGTATTTTCGCGTGATCAGAGCGAGAGCGAGGTTGGCCGTTGCTTTTCTTTTTTACTTGACGTAGCGCACACATTTCCTCGTTAAGGACTGGGATTCGCTTACACAAAGAACGGCTGGGTCTATCATACCGAATTCGATGAAGAGTGGAGAATTGAAGCTGGTGCAATTCAGAGGTATACCATTGTTAAAGTATTCAAAAGAGCATAGTGCAATAATGAAACTGTACTGAATAAGTTGCTTTTATGATGAACGCACAGATCGCGGTGTCTTGACACTTCAAAGGCAAAGTCCGGGATCGAGCTGGTGTGTAATTGTGACAGTAAAGAGGCAATCTAGATTTGAAGTGTTACGTAGGCAATGGATGAACGGGAGGGGACAGTCTAGGCCCATAAATACTCTCTTCTCTTCAGTAGCAGCAAGGCAAAATAGCCAGATTTCTGAGTGGGTTCCACGTTATTGGGCGGAGCCAATGCTGCATCCCATCTTCAAAGCGCCTCGGCCTTGTCAAACCATTCCGAAAGTTGTATACTTGCGAAAAGAGTTTTGAGCGAAAAATTCCTAAGCAGCTAGAGGATCTTGTTTGATAAAGTGCAGAAGAATAGAGCATACCTGGAATCACGGGAGCCGCACACAATGAGTCATTTCAATTCATACTATGGGTAAGGTTGTTCGCTCCAATCCTCTGTACAACTATAGGAAATTGGCTAGATATTTAACTCGTTTTGGAGAGCACGTTAGTAGTCAGCGGGAAGTGCTTACAATGAGCTGAGCTGGAACCAAGGTCAGTCGTGACCTTCACATTTTTTCAAAAAATTTGCGACCCCTCATCACCTATCACCTGCCTTAGGAGATTCCCCCCACTCCTTCCCCACACTCCCTGATCCACGCGCTTCACCGCCGTAGGCTGTTCAACTAGATTGATTCAGACGCAGCACATTGCACAACTCCGCCATTTTTACTTCGAAACGGTTGTCGAATGGGGGAGGAAGGAAGAGGGGATAAATTGGTATTATCACGAAGCAGCAAATCCACCAATTTTGCATAATTCTCACTGCATTCATAAAAACTTTGACCAAATTTGTCTAAAAACCCCATCCAGATTTTCCAAACCCAACCCTCTTATACGACCTCGTCA